CCACACTACAATCCTTCTCCTCCATTCTTATCTTGAGATTTGGGGCACCCATGCACATGTGCTCAGTGGGATTTTCAAGATGCCGGGTCAGGGACTCAAACCATGGTTAGTAAACATGGCCATTCTTTACACCAGAGAAATGGGAACTTGAGTCATCCTGCATAGACTTCATATGGAATGCTTGCAAGAAAATGAAGAAATAGTACCCTCCAGAATGGTGGCACCAGTATTACAGAGGCAGTACAACTTCTAAAACAGCCTACGTCAGAAAAATGAATGGTTTCCATATCCAAATTTGCAATGGATCTTAGATTTAATAAAAATGCACATGGAATATCTAGACCTTTTAAAAAGTATATATTTTTGAAGCGTACAAATATAATCACAATCTACATTCCTCTGAACAGAACCTTACAGATCACTTAGTCCAATCCCCTCCTATTACAAATGAGGAAGGCAGGTAAGTTATCAGTAGAATAATTTGCGTGACTCCCAAGGCACTGCCTTTTTTTTTTTCTAGAGGTTTTTCTATAGGGCGTGTGCACTCGCCAGACAGAGAGAGAGAGAGAGAGAGAGACAGAGAGACAGAAAGCAAGAAATCACCCCCCAGGGGGGATGGCCACGCCACAATCCCTTCTCTTCCATTCTCCTCTCAGGATCTTGGGCACGCACACACACGCTCCCAGCGTGAGTCTTAAGCCACCGGATCCGGGACGCGAACCGCGGGCGACTATGTGGGAGTCCAGCAACATAGCCATTACTCTAACTGCTGGTCCCCATCCAAGGTACTGCTCTTAAAATTATAGGAGCACATGGGACTGGCAGTTGGCTTAATGGCTATGTCACTGGACTCCCATGTAATCAACCACGGTTCGAGTTCCAGACCCAGTGGCTTAAACTCATGCCAGGTGCATGTGCATGTGTGCCCAATGTCCTGAAAGGAGAATGGTGAAGAAGGGATTGCGGCGTGGCCATCCCCCCTGGGGGTGATTTCTCACTTTCTGTCTCTTTGTCTTTCTGGCAAGCCCGCATGCCCTATAGCAAAAACCTCTCCAAAAAAAAAAAAGGGAGCACAAACCCAGTCACAGCGGAACAGATGGGCATATGCTGGAAGCCATATGGAAAGCCCAGGTTCATATCTTGGGTCCACCTGAATGTGCTCGGTGTGCCATGGCTGGCCGTAGGACTGAGGGGAAGATCACAGTGTGAAACCCTATTGGGAGTGATGTGTTCTTTCTCTCTCTCTCAGAATAAATTTAAAAATAAATAAACTTTAAAAACCTGAGAACATAAAAGCTACCATATATATGTAGGAGCTCATGAAGTACCTAGGTCATTTGGCCAGTGCAGACTTGGCCTTAAGGAAGTTGCTAAGCACAATTGAAATCACTGAGAGAGGACTGAGAACTACTAGATAATCCAGTGCCGCTCAGGTAAGTACTAGCGGTTGTAAAGTTCTATTAAGACCATAGGATTCTACATGACCTGAATATACTGATGAGGCTTGTGATGTAACTAAGAGGATGTGCTGTCAGGTGGCCCAATGTCCGCACCCCAAACTCACAGCTAGCTGTTAGTAGTGGTTTAAGATTTCAAAAATCAATAAAATTTCAAAATATTTGGGTTGTGATTTGTAACTTTGTATTTGCCAGGTAAGGAAATGTTTCCTTTTTTAAAAAAAATTAATTTAAAAAGCTATCATCACTGTTTTTGTACAAAATAAAAATAATTTTCACATATAAAACAAGGAAGGATACAATCTCAGAATAAATGACAGTCTTTTTTAATTTTAAGAGAGATTTTGCTATTGCATTTATGAGCTCACCAGAGAGACAGAGAGACAGGAAGCGAGAAATCGCCCCCCAGAGGGATTTTGGGCATGCATGGACATGCGTTCAGCGTGAGTTTTAAGCCGCCAGGTCCAGGACTTGAACTGCAGTCAACTATGTGGGAGTCCAGTGATGTGACCATTATTCCATCTGCTGGTCCCGAATGACAATCTTTTAACTTTAAAATATATTAAATTTCATATATAGAGGGACTTCAAGGAGTTCGTGGAAAAGTGGAATTAATGTATAATTTTATTTGGTGCAAAGATAATTTGAAATCCATGCATAGTTTTTTCATAACACAGATTTCCTATGAACTTTCTAACCATTTAACTTGAGTATTCTATAAGATTTTATTTTCCCTCTCTACTCCATAACACACATGAATTAGAGAGATTGGAAGGATAATACTCAGACTCAGCCTTCCAGTCCTGGGGACAGCAAGAGCAGTGTTGCAGGGCAGGGCGAAGTGGGGGCAGGGCTTTCACTACTCATGGTCTTCCTGAGGCAGTAACTACCTACCTGTGCATTCTGGAGATTGCCAACACTCTAAAATGCCAAGAACTAGGGTTTGAGCCCAGCTCTGACAGTAAGCAGGGATAACAGGAAAAAAAAAAGTATATTTTAAATTTTTTTTTTGAGAGGTTTTTTGCTATAGGGCGCGTGCACTTGCCAGACAGACAGAGAGAGACAGAGAGACAGAAAGCGAGAAATCACCCCCCAGGGGGGATGGCCACACCGCAATCCCTTCTCCATACTCCTCTCGGGATCTTGGGCATGCACGCACACACGCCCGGCGTGATTTTAAGCCACTGGGTCCAGGACGCAAACCGCAGTCCACTACATGGGAGTTCAGTGACATAGCCATCCCACTAACTGCTGGTCCCGAGATAAATATATTTTTTAAAAATCCAAACAGAATGATAATGTCTAATTTGTGGGCTTACAAGTGAACAAAGAGAGTTAAAATCCTGAATAATAATAGCAAGCAAGTCAGGAAGGGAAATAGGATTGAAAAGCCTTTTAAAGATTTTGTATTATTTGCAAAAGGGGTAAAGCTATTGATTAGATTTAGTGAAGTAAAATTAGTGTGTTAGAGGGACCAGTAGGTGGCGTAGTGGTTATGTTGCTGGATTCCCACATGGCCGACAGCGGTTCAAGTCCCAGTCCTGGCAGCTCCAAGCTCACACCAGGCACATGTGCATGCGTGTCCAAAATCCCAAGATGGAGAATGGAGGAGAAGGGATGGTGGTGTGGCCATCCCCCCAGGAGGTTATTTCTCGCTTTCTGTCTCTCTTTTTCTGTCTCTCTGGCAAGCACATGCATCCTACAGCAAAAAATCTCTCTAAGAAAGAAAAAAATAGTGTGTGAGTGTGTGAGGAAAGAACTGGCAAGCACATGCATCCTACAGCAAAAAAAATCTCTCTAAGAAAGAAAAATATAGTGCATTAGCGTGTGAGGAAAGACATTAAGGGGAAACAGAGAGGCAAGACATTTATGGGACACAGAAATGGATTATTATTGATGATAATGTCTATAGTATTCTCAACTGGACTGGTGTGCAGTGTATTCATGTTGGGCATATTCACTTTACAAGCTAAGTGATGTACAGTGAATATATAACATTTAAAAAAATAAAAAATGAAATTTTAGGATAACTATTAAGACAATTGTTCTGGACTATAGAAAATCAAAACAAAATTCATCTAATTAAAAGTAAAGACAAGAAATAAGGGTGGAAAACCCTAAAATTTCAGGGCTGCTATGGTTTAAGTGTGTCTCTTGAAGTTCATGTGAGGAGACTTATTCTCCAATGCAACAGTGTTAAGGGTGGACCTTTACTTAATGGATGATGTCATCACTGAGATAGCGGATCCTGATCAAAGGATGAGTTTGGCCCACTTTCTCTCTCTCCATGCAGTACCTTTCACCATGTTATAATGCAACAAGACTCTCACCAGATGTAGCTCCTTGATCTTAGATTTCCCAGCCTCTAGAACTGTGACCAAATATGCTTCTGTGGTTTATAAATTACCCAGTCTATGATAGTCTGTGACAGCAGTACAAACAGACTAAGACAAGGGCCAATATATTAATATACGGCCACTCATCTATACAAACAGAGTTCACTGAAATACCCTACAATATTTTTTAAAATTAATTTTTACTTCATTTTATTCCTAATTATTCTTATTCTTATTATTTTTAAGTTGACCAGAGTGAGAAAGCAAGTTGCCAAGTCCAGAACTTGAACCACGGTCAGCCATGTGAGAGTCCAGCACTTCAACCACCATGTCATCTGCTGGTTCTTACTCGACAATATTGGGCACAGTTAAGTAAAGGATATTTTTCTAACAACTTTAGAGTTTACATTATTTATTCATTTCATTTTTTGTTAATTATTCAGAAGAGTCATAGGTATTTCTAAGTGAAGACACTTAGTAAGATGAGATGACTTTGAAC